ATCAGGCTCAAGAGATCCGCATTACAATTCACGACGTCCTTAACAGAGTTAAAGATGAGCAAATTAAAGATGAGGTAGTAAAATGGAATTTAATGTATACATTTTTCTTATATTTTGTTTCAATATATTAAATTCACTTGAGTATAGTAACGTTTATAAATCTTGCACTTAATAATTTTGCCATTTAATATTACAGCTGCAGTCCTTCTCTTTGCAAATATTACATTGCAAAAACATATTTTCCGCCAAAGGTTTCAATATAGATGCAAGGTTTCTCGCTACAGTGAGTAACGGATTATTTACTTTAATTAATGAAATGTATCTTGTATAATTATTTTATTGTGCTTTTAGATGGTGGGTACCATTGCCACATATATATTAATTTTTCTGCAATTCATGATCACGTCACACTCCTGCGATAAAAAATCTACAATCAATATTACATAAATAATGTAACTCTATAAAAGAAAATAAATATATAAAACAAAAATTTTTTTTCACATATCTAAAATTTTACGTACAAATTAAAATAATAACAATTAAATTTTTCAAAGACACAATGTAATCGGTTTATTATAAGTAATATTATTTGTGCCTGATAACATACTATTCTATTTTGTCACTCTTCAAATATGATAGGACTTTGAAATTAATTTTTGTTCATAAATTGTATCACATTTATTAATTTCATTAGCTAAAGAATACATTAATTTGTTCTAATCTAAATAATAACATTAATTCTAATCAATTTTATATAATAAATATGCTATGTATTACTATAAAATTCAATTTATTAATAAGATCTTGAATTCATTAATTGAAACTTTTTTGTCTCTCATCACAGCGATATCAAAGTTTCTTAAAATACGCGCAATAAAATTCAATAGTACTTCGGTGTATAATATTATTTAATAATTAAGAAGATTTGCTTTATACTATATTTTGTAATTATACGTATTAAATTCTAAATTAGTTTTGAAAAATAAATAACTACTGATCAAATTAAATGAATGTCTTAAATATTTTTCATTAGAACTTGCGCTGTGACATACACACAGACACGTGCGCGAGTAAGTACTTCAAATTAAGACTATTAAATTGTGAAGTCGTAGTAAAAATAACAGACGTTTCTTAAACATTTTATATAAATAATGAAAATGTGCAGTACCGAACCAGGAAATTGTAATTAACTGATTTGTAAGAATCATTAATCTGTAGTAATCTATAATTAATCTTTCAAATATTTACTATGTAGTCGACACCTATTATTTTTTAAAATATAATGTTAATAATGTATTGTGAGCATGTTAAAGAAATTACATATAATTATATTAAAAACTGCGTTTTATAGATATGAGATCGAAGTACATCATGATTACTTGACTGCTAACATATAATAAAGTAAAGTCATTCTTCGTCGTAATAATGCTCGTAGTATCAAATAACAACTTGTGAAGTGTAGATCAGAAAAGTAGATTATTCCGACTGAGACGTTTGTAGTAAAAACTTAAAAACAAAAATTTAAAAAAGGATTCTATAATCTCACGCTCGTATTAATAATAACAGTGAGTAGATAAACATGAATAATAATCTTTAAGCTCTCTCTCTCTCTCTCTCTCTCTCTATATATATATATTTATAACACAGATATTTATTGTTTACTTACACACAGCATTTGACTAACTATATTCAGTACGTCATTAAAATTCCAGAAACAACAAAGAAACAAAATGCGAAAGAAATGGTCGTTATTTAACGCAACGGATTTTCAAACTTTGATGTATCCTTGTCTCATCTTTTGTCGCATTCTTGGATTATGTCCATATAAGATTAATAATTCAACTTTTGAGATTTCAATACCACATTATATCTTATCAATTTCTACTTGCTTTTTATGCGGTTTTGGCTTGATATTCTTGAAATACAACAAAATGTATACTTTTTCAAAAATAAACTTTGAAACTACAATCATATCTATTGAAGGTTATGGCTTCTATACATTAATTGTTTTTTTAAGAATCATTACATTTGTCTTGAGCAATCCGCGAATGCGCTTGCTTCAGACTATAATGAATATCTCTTCGAGATTGTCTCCGAAATCGTACCAAAATTTATCCAGATTAATCCACATCAAGGATATCTTCGGTTTATTCTACGTTACCAATCTAATTTCTATATATTTCTACAAAATGCGCATTGATATCTTGAACATAATATTTATAACGTATGCAGTTCTGTCACTATTTCAAATGGATATGCTATACATAAACTGTGTTTGTGTATTAAAAGCTTGTTTCAAAGATATTAATAACAATCTTCAACAAATGCAAGAACTTATAGTAAACAGTGAATCACGTATCCCTATGTTGTTTTATTACAAACAAAGGAATCCATTTTTGATAATAAAACTTAAGATTCTGAAGAAACAACATATAATAATCAGCAATACAGTACAAATGCTAAATACGATCTTCAGTGCGCAACTACTTACTTCGATGATTATAACTTTTTGTGAAATTAGTCTAGATCTGTATATCTATCTAGTTAAGTGGCATGATGGGTTGGTCATCAATTTGAACGGAATTAGTGAGTTGATTCTATTAAGTATAATTTATTACATACTAAAATTGGCATTAATTGTGTGGGCATGCGAGACTTGTAAGAATCAGGTTCAAGAGATTCGCACTACAATTCACGACGTTCTTAACAGCGCCAAAGATGAGCACATCAAAGATGAGGTAAAAAGAAGAAATTTAATGTATATATTTTTCTTATAACATTTTGTTTTCTTGAGTATAGTTACGTTTATCAATCTTGTACTTAATAATTTTGCGATCTGTTATTATAGTTGCAGTCCTTTTCCTTACAAATGTTACATTGCAAAAATACAATTTCCGCCAAAAGTCTCAATATGGACGCAACGTTTCTTGCTACAGTAAGTAATTAATCGTTTGTTTTAATTAATAAAATGTATTTTGTGTAACTATTTTATTTTGCTTTTAGATGATGGGTACTATTACCACATATATGTTAATTTTGCTACAATTCTTGATTATGTTCCATTCTTGCAATGAAAATTCTACAATTAATATTACATGAATAATGTAATTCTATAAAAGAAAATAAATAAAACACAAACTTTTTTTCCATATATTTACATATAATTTTATGTACAAATTATAATGACCCGATTAAGTTTTTGAAAGACACAATGTAATCGGTTTATTATTGAGAGATTAGATTGTATTAGATTATATTTATTATTACTAATATCATTTACGTATAACAAAATACTATTTCTATTTTATTAATCTTCAAATAGGACAGCAACTTTAAAATTAATTTTTGTTCGTAAATCGTATCATATGTGTTAATTTCATCAACTAAAAAATATAGTAATTTGTTCTAATCTAAATAACACAGACACATCAATTCTAATTAATTTTATAATAAACATGCTATAAAACTTATTGCTATAAAACTCAATTCATTAATGCATTATTTTTTGTCACTTACCATATCAGAGTCTCACAGAATATCCGCAGTAAAATTCAATAGACTTCGGTATACAGTATTATTTAATAATCATACATATACAGTATTATTTAATAATTATTTAAGAAAATCTTTATAGGTTTTAATATATTAATGAGAATATTTTATAATTAAATATAATATTGTAAATTATGTCTGAAAAATAAATATTACTGATCAAGTAAATGAATATCGAGAATATTATTTATTAGAACTTATGGTGTCATACACACAGACATGTGCGCGAATATTTCAAAATAAGAAATTAAATCTTAAAGTCGTGGTAAAAACAAGCATTTCTTAAACATTCTATATGAACAATAAAAAATGTACCGAACCAGAAAATTGTAAACAACTAATTTATAAGGATCATAAATCTGTTTAATATGTAGTCGATACTTTTTATTCTAAGAAATATAATGTTAATAATATACAATTAGCACATTACAGAAATTTATATGATTACATTAAAAACAGCATATAGATAACAGATCGAAGAGCACCATGGTTACTTAACAACCAACATATGATAAAGTATAAAGTCACTCTTCTTCATAATAACTGCTCGTAGTATTAAATTACAACTTGTCAGATGTAGATGAAGAAGTTTGTTTTGGTTAATATATTTGTAGAAACTTAAAAACAAAAATTAAAAAAGAATCTTACAATTACACTCGTATTAATAATCACAGTGAGTTGATAAACATACATTAAACTATATTCACATAATATAAATATAATATAGATGTTTATTGTTTACTTACATATAACATTAGACTAAACCATTTCAGAATATAATATTAGTATTGAAGAAACGAAAGGAAAACAAAATGAGACAAAAATGGTCGCCATTTTACGCTACAGATTTTCAAACTTTGATGTATCCTTCCTTCACCTTTTGCCGCATGTTTGGATTATTCCCATACAAGATTAATAACTCAATTTTCGAGGTTTCAAGACCACAATATATTTTATCTATTATAATAACTTGTGCTTTATGCATTTTCCAACTGATACACATCAAATCCAAGATTTTGTTTTTTACAAAAATCAACTTTGAGAGTATAATTACGATTATTATGACTTGCTGCTATTGTATATTAATCGGTTCTTTTGCAATCGTCACACTTGTCTTGAATAATCCACGAATGCATTTGCTCCAGACCATAATGGAGGTTTCGTCAAAACTGTCTCCGAAATCGTATCAGAAGTTATCCAAATTAATCCACATCAAGGACATCTTTGGTTTTTTCTATGTTATCAGCCTAAATTTATTTATATTATGCTACAAGATGGACAAAGATATTTTAACTTCAATATTTATAATATACACAATTCAATGGATATTTCAGATGGAGATGCTGTATATAAACTGTGTTTGTGTATTAAAAGCCTGTTTCAAGGAAATTAACAACGATCTTCAACTTATGCAAAAAATAGTAAATAATGAACCATGTATTTCCACAATGTCTTACTGCGAGCAAAGAAATCCATTTCTGATAATAAAGCTTAAGGCTTTGGAGAAGCAATATATGATGATCAGCAATACAATACAGATACTAAATAAGATCTTCAATGTACAAATTTTTATTACAATAGTCTTAACTCTTTTTGAAGTCAGTCTTGAACTGTATATTTATGTAATCAAGTGGCATAATGGATTAGTTATTAATTTGAGTGAACAGGGTATTGATATTTTTTTGTTAACCATGATTTATATAACTACAAGAATGGCGTTAATTTTTTGGGCTTGCGAGACTGGAAAGAATCAGGCTCAAGAGATCCGCACTACGATTCATGATGTACTTAACAGCACCAGAGATGAACAAATAAAAAATGAGGTAGTAAAAATTTAATTCAATTTGTATATTTTTCGTATATAACATGTACACTAATACGATTTTTCTATATTGAATTTACTTGAATATAATTTCGCTTTTTATTCCTATTTAACAATTTTAAGATCTAACATTATAGTTACAGTTATTTTCGTTGCAACTATTGCATTGCAAACATACATTTTCCGCCAAAGGTTTTAATGTGGATGCAACATTTGTTACTACAGTGAGTAATCAATCGTTAGCTTTAATTAATCAAATGTATCTTTTGTTTATTCCTTCTTACATTGCTCTTTATAGATGGTGGGTACCATTACTACATATATGTTAATTTCGCTACAATTCTTGATCATGTCATATTCTTGCGAAAATCTGCAATTAATGTAATAATATTACAAATAATATAATTTCTTAAAAGAAGATAGATAATTATATAAAAGAGAATTCTTTTCGTATATTGGTAAATAGTTATTTGCATACATATTACAAGCATGCATACATATATGTATGCACGTACAATTTTGTATTACACACACGCTCGTGCGCGTATAAAATATTAATTGTGAATATTAGTATTAACCTAGAGAAAGTATTAAATGTTAAATAAATTATTAATAAATTATTCTTACTTATTGTGTATTCATATTATGATCTTAATAAATCATTTATTATTATTTATTATAAATTATTAATATTGTACATATTTAAATGTATTGAGGGTGCGAGACGGAATAAATTTTTAACAAAGATATATGGTATCGATAATTCGACTAATTCAATACCTTAATTATTAAAACAATCAAATATTCTAACAACTTTTTATATTAAAATTAAAGAAATTAATGCCAAATATCAGATTATGTTAGAATATTACTATAAAGTAGGTAAAATAATTAATATTATACATTGTTCTGCGATATCTTATAATTAGTCATTTTTTTCTATTAGTTCATTATCATCTAATTGTAAATTTTTGCACGCTGTACTTTAGAATTTTAATATATATTTCGTATTTGATATAAAACAGTAAAATTTGAAAAAATTTATTTTAAGTTACCTTGTGTTTGCAAAAGAAAATCGTAGAAGAAATTTGTAATATCGTGTTGGCAAGATTGATTATTGAAAAGAAATAAAAATAAAATGCATGTAAAATAAAAAATAATGTAGTATAGTGTAGTACAATATTTTAATATAGTCGACAGTTTTATTTTATTTACAAAATAATGGACCTATTATGTCTTCATACATTATTTGTTACTAAAATACTACTCTTTAAGATTTTTTTATACTTAAAACCGTACAGTTAATTTTATCAATCGGAGAAACATATCAATTCGTTTTTTTCTAAATAATTAAATAGATTAATTTTAATTGAGACAATATTATTAATTTCACTTAATTTTTATTACCATTATGTCTTTTTGCTTTTAATTTCCTATTTGTAATATCAAAATTTTTTATATTGTATATACATAATTTAATACGTTAATGAATAATATTATGTACAATTTTAAAACAGCTTACTATATTTTAATAAATTTACAAAAATAGAATTCATAATTACGATCCAGTATACATTAAATTAAAAAAATAAATATCATTGACAATATATTTTTTATTTAGTTGAAAATACATGTTCATGCATTTTTTCATTGAAAATTATATGTATACATACGCGCGCACGTGTGCTTATGCAAATATTAGATCATGAAAAACATTTTGAAACATCCTGTATGCACGATATAAATGTGTGTAATATGTTAGAATCGTTATTAATCAATTTTTAAAAGTTATTAATTCATATACATATTGTACAATTTATGTTTCCTCTTTTGAATACGTCTACAAAATATAATGTATGGCTATAGTATAAGTTGCAACAATAACTTTTTTATATGTATATACATACTTCACTTTTTTTACTGCACTTTATAGGTGACAAGTACAAATTGAAGAACCATGGTTACTTTACGCCTAACATAAAATTTCTGAAGCATTCCTTGCTACTTAGCAGTTTTCAAGTTAAACTTATCAAGTATAGATCGAAAATAAGGAATTATGCAATCACTGTCAAAAAATGAATTTCGAAACCACATTTATAGAAGAAATTTCCACAATAACATTCACACTGATGACAAAGTATGTACATTGATAATGTGTTAAATGTTTATGCTGTGTATTTAAATTATTGTTCTCCCATAAATGTTATATACAGTATCGTTATTAAAATTCCAGACACAAGTCAACAGCAATATGCGAACAAAGTGGCGACCCTTCTACGCTACAGACTTTCAATCCTTGATGTATCCTTGCTTTATCTTCTGTCGCATTCTTGGAATATTTCCATACAGGATTAACAATTCGACTTTCGAAGTTTCAGAATCATGTTACATTCTATCAACCATTGTTATCTTCGTTTTCTGTGTTTACGAAATAATTATTATATATAAACTGGATATTTCTAGAACGATCAAAGACAGAAGCGTATCTAGCTCTTTTGAGTGTCACAGTTATTATGTGCTCGGTAGTTTCACAACGATTGTCACGTATGTCTTGAGACGTCCACGGCTGCTCTTGCTACAGACCGTATTGGAGATTTCTTCAGAATTACCCTCAGAATTATATGAAAAGTTATCCAGACTAATTCATATTAAGGATATCTGCGGTTTCTTTCTTCTTGTCATCGTATCGATAGTATATTGCATTTGCATGCCGTTCAATACAATTTTCCTAACAATGTTTGTAATATATCTTACTTTGTTGATGTTTCAAATGGACATGATGTATATGAATTGTGTTTGTGTATTGAAGGTCTGTTTTAAGAAAATTAACGATAATTTGATGAAGGTTCAAGAACTAGTAATGAGCGATAAGCCATATCTACTCAGGCGGATATACCACGAGCAAAAGAATTCACTTCTATTGATGAAACTTAAAGCCCTGAAGAAACAACATTTGATGATCAGCGACTCAGTGCAGATGCTTAACATGATTTTCGGTCTGCAGATTATCGTTACCATAATCATATCTTTCGTTGAAATCACTTTCAATCTGTACTTTTATATAGTTGTATCTATAGTCGAAGAAGAAGCAAACTTTTGGTACTGGTTTTTCATCTTGGTCGTAATATATTATATTACGAAGATAATATTGATAGTGTGGGCTTGCGATAGTGGTACAGATCAAGCTGCAAAAATTGGCATCGCCGTTCACGATCTGCTTAACAATACTAGCGATAAGCAAGTAAAAAACGAGGTAATAACGTATGATTTAATTTTTACATTTTTATAAAAATCCCGTATGCTATACTAATGTGATTTTATATATTAAGTTACTAGATTAATAATTATATTTCTCATAATGCTGTATATTTATTATTATTTTATTTATTAATTTTATTAATTTATTATAATGTTATTATATAGTTGGAACAATTTTCTGTGCAAATATTGCAGCGAAAAAATGCATTCTCCGCGAAAGGTTTAACTGTGGATGCAACGCTTCTCACTGCGGTAAGCCGATTATTTCCGTCAAATAATTAAACACATATTTATTTCTTATTTTTCTTTTAGATGGCGGGAAGCATCATCACGTATTTGTTAATTTTAATACAATTCTTAATCACATCGCATTCTTGTGATGGAAAAACTATCAGTATTACAGAAGTAATCTAATATAAGAAATAAATAATAAATACACAAAAAATATAAATATAATCAACAAACGCGTGCGATTTGTGTCTTTAGCAATGAAAAAAGCATTTTTTTATTGTTAGAAGTGGAATATAACTGTGTATTTTATATCTAAAACACACACACACACACACACACACAAATATATGTAATATATATGTATGTAATAAAACATTAAAAAAAATTTGTTATTAATATACGTAATATATTAATGTATGTAATAAACATTTAAAAAAATGTTATATCTTATATTAACAAAAAGTTTCAAACAATATGCAATATTATTTTAATATATTTTATTTTAATTAATGTAATTTTTAAGTATATTTGTTATGATTTATGATAAATATATTTCGAAAGAATTTTGTATCAAACTAATTATAAATATTCTGTATTTAAACGCTCTGCATTGTAAAAATAAATTATTACAAGATGCAATATATAATTTTGAGTTGACTTTTTTTCTTTATTACAAAGTGTGTGTGTGTGTGTGTGTGTGTGTGTGTGTGTGGTTATAATTATCTTTTATTACTAGCTGCTTTTATTACAATTGATCTACTATATAAATAATCCACGGAATTTTCCTTTCGTCAATACTTAAAACATAAAATTGAAGAAATAGATGAAAATTGTAAAAGCAGTAACGTACGAGGTATGTACATGGGGATAAATAATTTTAGAAAGGGATTCCAAGCTAGGACGGAAGTGGTGAAAGATCAGAACGATAATTTAATTACGGATACAACGGCAGTTTTAAACACATGGAAAAATTATTTTGATCGGTTATTGAATGTCGAATCTGAAAACGACCGGGAAATAGAGAATTTTGAGTATCACACGGCTGAACCTAGGATTAACGAACCGACAATTTCAGAAGTAGAAAGCGCGATTAAAAAATTAAAAAATCACAAAGCACCGGGTAATGACTTGATTCCGGCGGAACTGATTAAATGGGGGGGAAGTAGATTGATAGAAGAAATTCAGAAATTAATTATCTTAATATGGAATAAAGAAGCATTGCCGGAACAATGGAAAGATTCAATTATAATCCCGATTTTCAAAAAGGGGGACAAAATGAGTTGTAATAATTACCGGGGTATCTCACTTTTACCTACATGCTATAAAATTCTGTCGAATATTTTATTAATGAGGCTTGTACCATATGCAGATGAGATAATTGGAGATCATCAATGCGGCTTTAGGAGAAATAGATCGACTGCGGACCAAATCTTTACTATTCGGCAAATCTTGGAGAAAAAATGGGAATTCGACCAATCGGTACATCAACTTTACATTGATTTTAAAAAAGCGTATGATTCGATAAAACGGGAGAAAATGTATGAAATTTTAACTCGGTGGGGGATACCCAAAAAATTGGCTAACTTAGTCCAAGTTTGTTTAAAAGATACCAGAGGTAGAGTAAGAATAGGTAATCAAATGTCGGAAACTTTTAATATTCATAGCGGATTAAAGCAGGGGGATGCATTGTCACCTCTTCTGTTTAATCTAGTATTGGAATATGCTATTAAAGAAATGCAGAAGAGTAATGATGGTTTGCAGTTGAACGGTACAACACAAATATTAACATATGCGGACGATATTGCTTTGTTGGGAGATAATAAAGAAACACTAATAAATAACGCTAAAATTCTATTAGATAAAACGAAAGAACTGGGGCTGCAAATAAACGTTGAAAAAACTAAATATATGGTCACTGATAGAATTCAGAATATTCATAATAACGGAAACCTGGTCGTCTGTGATAAAATTTTTGAACGGGTTAGCAATTTTAAGTATTTAGGATCGATTTTAAACCAAACTAATGAAATAAGAGAAGAGCTCAAGAGAAGAATTAATTTGGGGAATGCGTGCTTCTATTCGGTTAAGAAACTACTCGGTTCGCGGATATTGTCTAGGCGCTTAAAAATTAGAATTTACAGAACGATTATTTTACCGGTAGTCCTTTATGGCAGCGAAGCGTGGTCACTTACATTACAAGACGAGAAAAGATTTAGGGCTTTCGAAAATAAAGTACTTCGAAAAATCATCGGGGCAAAACGCGATGAGGAAACGGGCGAATGGAGAAAATTACACAACGCAGAATTACATCAATTATATAATAGTCCGGATATTATTAATGTCATAAAATCGCGTCGATTAAGATGGGCAGGTCACGCGGCGCGTATGGATGAGAATCGAATTGCATATAAAGTACTAATTGGTAAACCGGATGGGAAAAGACCATTGGGTAGACCAAGACGTAGATGGGAAGATAATATTAGAATGGACCTTAACGAAATGGGGTACGAGGGTCACAAATGGAGGGATCTGGCTCAGGGACGGGAACAGTGGCGGGATTTGGTATTTGCGGCAATGAGCTTTCGAGTTCCTAACGCCTAATAATAATAATAATAATAATATAAAATGAAAAATAAAAGATCTCTATAAACCATAGTATAAAAATATCCTTTATAAAATTTAGAATTAGATAGTTGTTATATTATAATGAATTTTTAAAAACTTCAATGCATATAAACATAATGCATTCAATGTTTGCGTTATTATCGATACATTGAATGTAATAGCAACTTCATATCATTACTTTGCACATAGTATTTTTAAATGATATTTGCTGATCGAAGAGTGCTATGATACTTTATGTCTCACATACGACTCTTTCAGTTCCGTCTGACTGTTTGACTTAGCAATTGCTTGCGGTTTTAAATTGAAAATCGTTAAATACAAATTGACAATAAGGAGTGTATATCGGATGAGTTTACAATATTGTATTTATCATTAAAAGACTAATTGAATAGTTGTATATTTATAATAAAGCTTTCGAAAGCTTGCACAAATGCTAAAGTGTATAGATAATGTAATTAATAATCATAGACTGTCACTTATCACCTAAACTATTCTTTATAATATTTTGACGATGTTAAACTTATTATTCCAAATTAAACTTATTATTCCAAAAACAAATCAAGGATAAAATGTGGAAATTGTGGCAGTTATTTCACGGCACAGACTTTCAGACTTTGATGTACCCTAATTTCATCTTTTGCTACATCCTCGGATTATTTCCATATAAAATCAATGCTTCGACTTTTGAGACTTCTAGACAGCGTTACATTTTGTCAACCTTCCTTATCTGTGTTATCTGCATTGTCAATCTAAGATGTCTCCATCAAATTATTTTTACAAGAGTAATGAACTTTAGAGACCTAATGAGAATTCTTGAGACTATCTCTTTCTTTACAATCGGCGGTTTCATAACATTTATTACGTACGTTTTAAGCAGACCAAGAATGCGCGTGCTACATGCCATGCTGGAGATCTCTTCGTATTTACCTCCAGAATTGTATCAGAAGCTGTGTAAATGGATCCACATAAAGGACATTTTGGGCTGTTTTTTCTTAATCATGCAGTCATGTGTGTTTTGTTACAGAGTACATGATTATTCTATTTTCTTTGTGTTATCAATATACATGAACCTGGTGGTGTTTAATATGGATATGCAATATATGAATTGCGTTTATATATTGAAGACCTGTTTCAAGAGAATCAACAACAATCTGATACATATGCAAAAGATTATGATAAACGATATAAAGACATGTGTTCCCAGTTTAATTTACCACATGCGAAGGAGTCAGTTTCTGTTAATAGAACTCAAGCTCCTGAAAAAGCAGCATTTAACAGTCAGCAATACAGTGAAAATGCTGAACATAATTTTCAGTCCACAACTTCTTGCTACTTTAGTTTTGACCTTTACTGAAATCACTTTCGAATTGTATAAACATCTAATACGATGGCAAAATGGGCTGTCCTTCATTCTGGATGATGAGATTTATGATATGTTCTTTCTAATGTCTCTAGGAAATGAATTTTTAAAAATAATATTGATAGTATGGACTTGCGAAACTAATAAAAATCGAGCATTAGAGATTAGCACCACTGTTCATGATGTACTTAACCGCACCAGTGATAAGCAAATCAAAGAAGAGGTAAGCAAAATATAATGGTATATTTTCTGCTATAAAAATGTCTTATACTATATTAAAATCCTGTACTAATGCAATTTTATATACATTAAACTGATTTAGCTCATTATGTTTTCTAATTCTTTATCTCACAATCTAATATTGCAGTTGTATCTATTTTCTTTGCAAATAATGCATTGCAAAAATACACTTTCCACGAAAGGTCTTTCTATAAACGCGACGCTTCTCGCTACGGTAAGTAATAAATCATTTGCCTTAATAAAATAAATACTATTTACTTTTTTCTTTATTTTCAGATGACGGGTAGCATTACGACGTACATATTAATCTTGACACAATTTATGATCATGGTACATTCTTGCGATGAAAAGATTGCAAGCAATATCCGAATGACTTAATTAAAAGCAGATATAAGAAAAAAAAAGAAAAAAATCTCTTTCAAAATTTTAGAAAACTCTCTTCTTTATCATTGTAATATTAAATTATTATATAAAACAAGTTAAAAAAAAAGAACTACGAGAAATTTCACATATAAAATTGGTAGATAAGTAAAAAAAACTGTTAATAAATTAGTTATGAAATTTAATACAAACGTTTTAATCACGATCGGATTATTATCAATGTTTACAAAATATGTGTAAAAAAAACATAACATAAAGTCAATCAAAAATTGAAAATATACTACGCATTGAATAATATACAATTATTGGTATCAATAAATTAAGAAGGATCTTCGTCTTGTTAGTTAAACTGAACAGTAACATATATAAAATACATACATTAGAATTTGTCAGAAAAGTAAAAACTTATACTATGGATGGTCGATGGCAAATAAAAATATATTTTGCAATGTCAAGACACCTAACTGTTGGTATCAATAATTAGAGAATCTTTATCTTGTTAATAAAATTATACAGCAAAGGAACGTCGGTGATTATATATTGATGTTCAGAATAAAATTATTATATGTTTTACATTCAGCAGCACTTGAATATATAGAATATATGAATATATAGAAAAATTGTTTGAAAATTCTCTATTACATATATCAATAAACAATTGCAAATAAATTTTTAACATTTTAAATGTATTAACGTCATAAATGCGTTTCTACAAAATATCTCTCTTTCTATTCATTAAATATTATATCTTAAAAATAATCTTCTTAATTAAAATTACAACAAAGTAATGAAAATATTAATAAATTAAATAAATTTTATTTAGATATATTTTATTTCAAAATTAACATAAAAATATATTTATGTAATACATATTTTAAGTTCCGTCCGAGATAACGAATCATTCTATGATAATAATGACTGACATTAAAGTGACACATAAGTTTTATCAATTTCTTGTTTCAATGACATTAATAATATCAGTAACCACAAATTCGGCTGTAGATCTTCAAAATAAAAAATTATATGTATTATAACACTGTAAAAATGGATTACGCAGTAAATTTTTTCACAATTATAATCCTTAAGAATTTTTTTCAATATTAATGCCTGTTTTTTTTATTACTATTAAATAGTGAAACATTTTTTTTGTTTACAATCTATTTTTACACTTTATTAATATTTTTACAATTAATTAATATTTTAAAATTAAATAATGTAAAATTCTCCTTGTTTCTCAAACTTTTAAATAAATATATATTTTAGAGCAATGAAGATTTACTACTGTATCAAAAATATTTAACATTTATTATTTATAAAAGAAGAATATCTTAAATTTGTAAAAAAAAAAAGAATTATATAATGTCTACTCGTATTTTTACTTTAGTTTTTAATTAAACTGAGCAAGGAATAAGGCATAAATAATTTCTTTATATCAAAACTATTTAATTAAGTTATCAAAATTACTTAGTTTAACATAGGTTTTAGATAAAATGAATTTATTATAATTATTAATAAATTCTAACAATTATTTAAAACTATTTTTTATTTCTTGACAGAATGAAATGTAGGAATCATTTATGAAATAAGGTATTATATATAAGCTATTCATATAAGATAATAAATATAAAATATGACTAACCACAGAAAAAGATGAAAAAATATAATAAATATATACAGAAATATAAACATACATTTGTCAGTTTTAATTTGTAACTAATTATAAAAAATGTTATCTTTTCAATTATAAAACCTTTGAACAACTTCAATAACATTTTTGTTAAGACAAAATAATCTTTAATTATTCAAGCAATTTAAAAGCAAAAGAAAAATATATAATATACTTAATTAGTTTTAATATCTTATTATTTATTAATAAATAGCAATTTATTAATTTATTAGAAATGTCTTTGATAATCCCACATATTTTTAGATTTAAATTAATTTGTGTGTTATTATTTTATTTCAATTACTTTATTCGTGTACGCGTTATTTTTCCAAACGTAATGTAATTAAAGTAAATTTAATACTTAGCTTATAGAAATAGTTAAAAAAATGTCCTACATTTGCGTCGCATTTATCATTGATAAATTATAAAATTATAAAATTATAATATATCAATTTTATAAAATTATTTTTGAAAAATTAATGTGATTTTGATGCATGATCACAATAATAAAATTTACGCTTTTTGTTACTTTACTTTCTTTTATTGTGAGACATAAAAAAGATTAATAACCTGTAGATTCTAGTGATAATTTCTTGCCTATAATATCATGTTTCTTGTGCATGACATATTTGCTAATTTCAATTTTCCAAAAAAATACATCAATTAATCCACATTATTATTTAAATTAATTGTGATCAAGATAATAACATTGTATCTTTATGGTGTATGATGTATCAACATTTCATTTATTATATTTATGATTACCATTGAAGTAAGTGTCATACTTTATAAATTTAATGTATAATATTTTATAAAAAAATTAAGTTTTCTTTTTAATTTACGGACTTACATAAAAGTAACGGCTTTATATAAAAGAATTTTAATTATTATGGATTAAATATATAAATTAGGATTAAAAAATAACTATTCATGACAACTTATTTTTAATTAAACTAAAAATATATACCAATAGCTTTATATTTAAAAAATTACAGTATACAATATATATATACATATATAATAAAAGTAAAAGATTTAATTTTTTAAGTATAACATTTTTTTAATTTGTACAATAAGAAAATACACAATAAAAAATACTATAGAACTAATTGTAATATTATATATTAATTTAATTTTAAACATTATTAATGCAGGTGAATGATGCATAATTGTTGATTTTGCATTATAGGGATACATATAAAGATTTGCTGTACTCTTATCACGTTATAGCAATAAGGTGTTCACTGTACTACCTTGCTCTTTTAAAAAGCAGTAATAATAAATTCAAACTGACAAGCATCTCGCTTGTCAATTTGTATTTAACTTTCCTAATATAATATAACTAATATAATATAAGCTATTTTCCTTGCAAGTAATGCATTGTGGAAACATATTTTCTACAAAAGATCTTACGAAAGATCGATACGTACAATTTTTCGCTGCAGTAAATAATTTGTTCTTTATTAATTACACAATATGTACTTGTGCAAGCACGTCCGCAATTATAATTGCAGGTAGCATATAGCTGGCATCACAATGTATACATTGATCTTAACCTTATACTGGGTATAATTTGGTATCTTATCTATATACTAACGGGGGCACTAGAATCCGTTTGTTTTTTCACCTATTCAGAATGATTTAAAAAATCTCTAACAATTCACCAACATACTTTCAATTTTTTAAAATAAATATTAGCCCTTTATTTTGGAAAATAATAAAATATAGTATAATTTATAATTACCGAAAAAAACTTGAACAGGAATTGCTCGGTAATTAGTGACCCCCCCCCCTTAGTAGGGTAAAAGAGTTAATATTATATAATTCATGCATATGCAGAATTTTTGCAACCAAAAGACGGCAATTAGTATCACGTAGTTTAATTAAAGAAGGTATATAATCAAATAAAGAAAAGATATATTTTTAAATATTATTGAATAATTTAAAACAAAATACAATTAAGATTCTTTATATTCGAACACAATAAAAAGAAGAAATGAATTAATGGGAATAGACGCTGTAAACGGTGCGCTAATGTTTCTACAAAAAACTTTTGATATTAAATTATAAAATATATTTGTTACAAATGAAATTAGTCTTTAGTCATTACAACAAATGTTACTAATATTTAATTATTACATGTGAGATTTTTATGTGTTATGGCAGAAAATATAGATAATCGATAGATAATTTGTATTTTTAAAGATACACCATACATAATCCTATATATGTATGTATGTATAAAATCACACATTAAATTATTTCAATTTTACATTAAACATTGCTTTTTAACAAAAGTAATCCAATCATAGTCACATCAACTTTGTAACAAGAAATAAAATTTGTAAAACTTACTACATCTTATAAATTTGATTATCTATAGCTTACTAAAGATAAATCATTATATATAACTGCCTCTTTTAATATTTTAATTAATTTAGCTTTATTTTAATTAAATTATTTCACATTATTTTTCATTATATGGATAATGTAATTTTTTTGAAATGTTTATATAATTTTATGTCTAACATATAATTTAATTACTTAATAAAAATATTTTTGCAATTCGAGTTTGTTTACCAATTGATAATTTAACAAAATTTTTATTGAGAAACATAACGCATTATCATGAACAGATTCACACCTTCTACCATCCATTTTGCCATTTCATTATATTGCTTAAGTATCCCGCATTTTAAGATAATTTCATATGTTATATATCTACTGTTGTACTAATTAATTTTTTAGAATTACAGGAAAATTTTAATTCAAATTTTAATTTAAATGTAATGAGATTAATTCTTATTAAAGTAATACTATAGTTTTTGCACATGATATATAATAACATGATTTTTTAACATTATCTTTATTACATATAATTTTCATATTAGTGTTTCTAAAATGCAAACAATGCAATTTAATGTGTAAAATTTATGTAACAACAAAGTTCAATTTATTACAAAATTAAATATTATTATTTTCAAATATTAATATAAATTATGATAGGAAAACATATGCATATGTATAACAACCATATAGTTTCGATCGCAAAGACATGTACAGATATTTTTGTACTAAAAATTACTAGATAAAGATCAAGATTATTACATATCGAAGTTGTTATTTTATTAACTAGTGGAACTTCAAAAAACTATCAACGTTGTGACAGAAATGTCGAGCATTTAATTAAAAAGAATAATTTTTATTTTGTATAATATCGACGCCTTCTGGTTTGCATAATACCCATTTTAGATATGTTAAGTGATAACATGTATGTTAGAAATTACTTCATTACCTTTATACATGTCCACATATTCTAGAAGGTCATAAATAATGATCGAAAGACGTCGTTGTTACTTCATAGTTGACAAATGGATTTTAGTCATGACTTGCTATTCGATGTAGCAACTATCTGTATTTTTAAATTAAATTAATTAGCACGGAGTGCATAAACAGACTAAATTAGGGCATACCAATTTATATATTTGTGGTGAAAAGTTTGAAATTCAAAACTGCATTTAGAAAAAGAGTATTTGGAATAAGACTAAAGTGTATAAAAATGATAAAGTAATTAATAAGTTTAAATAATAACCATTACTAACATAATACATTGGTCTTTCACGATTTATTAATTACATTTAATTTATCGTAGAAATTTCAAAGTTAATTCAAGATCCAAAATAAAAGGAAAAAAATCTAGGTTGTTTCATGCTACGGATTTTCAATCCTTGATGTATCCCACCTTTACTTTAAGTAAAATTCTAGGAATATTTCCTTACAGGATTAAGGCTTCATCTTTTGAAATTTCTAAACCACGTTATATTCTGTGGACTATTATTGTCTGCGTAATCTGTGTTTATAAGTTGACAGTGTTGTATAAATTTAATCTCTCTGAAAAAAACAAGATTGACATACCCAAATTTATTTCAATTAATTTCTCTATTATATATGGAGTATTTCTAACAGTCAGCTCTTACATCTTGAGTGGTCCGCAAATGCGGTTACTTCGAACTATATCGAATATTTCTTCGAGACTGCCTCAGCAGTCATATCAGAAAATGTCCAAATTAATACACGCTAAGGACATTTTCGGTTTTTTCTTTCACTTCTGGTTAGCATTAATGTATTTCATACATTCTGAATTAAATATCACACTTTTGTTTCAAGTGGTCATATTACATACCACCTTGTTGGCGTTTCAAATAGAAATGCTGTACATAAATTGCGTTAGTGTCGTAAAAGCTTGTTTCAAGGAAATTGATGACAATATGGAGAATCTACGAGAGCTGATAATGAATAGTACTCCCAGATGGATCCCTCACAAGCAGAGATATCCATTCTTGTTGATGAAACTTAAGGATCTAAAGAAACAGCATTTGATGATCAGCAACACAGTGCAGATGCTAAATTTAATGTTTGGTCTGCAACTTCTCGCTAGCACAACCCAATGCTTCAAGCAGATAGTATTCTACTTGTATTTCAATGTAGTACATTGGCAAAATGGGATATCCTTGAATCGAGATAAGATTTACAGTGTAAATTTCATATCATTTCTGGCGCATTACATTATAAGATTAATGTTGATAGCGTGGGCTTGCGAAACCAGCAAAAACCAAGCAATCAAAATTAGTACTACCGTTCATGATGTGCTTAACAGTATCAACAATGTGCAAATCAAACATGAGGTAACAAAGAAAAATTTCATTTTAGTTTGAAAGATTTTACAAATATATCGTGATTTTTATATTAGATCTTATTAATTTACATTATATATAACTGATTTATCATTCTCGTTCTATAATTCTCGTATTTATTTCGTTTTGATTTGCTGTTGCAGTTAAATTTATTCTCCTTACAAATATTGCATTGCGATAATACATTTTCCATGAAAGGTCTCACTCTAGATGCAACGTTGCTCACTATGGTAAGTGATTAAAAATATTCCTTAATTAAATATATATTTATATATTTCATATTCTGCTTTTAGATTGTGAGTAAGGTTTTCACGTATCTATTAATTTTAATACAATTTTTGATTATGACGCATTCTTGCGATAGCAAGACAGGTGTAATTAAAGATACCTAGCAATTTAATTAATACAAAGGCGTTTGAAAATTTTGAAAACTTCGAATCCGTATGTGTTGAATATTATTTCTGTGAATATAATTGTCCACCGTTTTTATTCTTAAAAAATCATATCACATCGTATGCATGTATGCCAAATAAAAATCTTTTATCACATGTGTTAATAAATGAGATTTTAAGGCTTTATTTGTTTAAAAATGTACCACATTAATATACAGATTAATAAAAATGTGTTTTATGTCAAATATATCATGCAACTTAAAAGTTTAATTATACCTTCCATCAAAAATAAAATATGTTAATAGCTAATATTAATGAATCATCAGCTAATTTGTATTATATCTTGTATATTTCACGTATCAATTAATTCTTAGAACGTTTTTGTCAAATCAGTATTTATCAGAAATGGTACGGACAACTTGTAAGATAAATTTAACGTTTAAAGAATTGCATCGTAAATGCAAACTGCATATTTTTTATTTAAGTTTCAATATAGATTTAATTAAATTTTCATTGAGAGATGATAGATGAAATATTGCAATAGTAATTTTAAGTATCATATATTTTTTGTGTGTGTATATGAAAAACAACAAAGTCAACTAACTAAAAATAATTCATGATTCATATGTTTATAAAATATTTATTAATTTCACATCAAAAGAATACATCAAGCAATTTAGATATTAGTAAGATCAATTTTAATCTAAGAAATAGCACTCATTATAAAATTGTAATTTATCTATAAATTCGCATAGCATTTAATTATATTTTAATGTGTAAAATTTATGTACAAGAAAAATACAAACCATTACAAAATTAGATATTGTAATTTACAATTATTATTACAAATTATGATAGGAAAATACATATGAATATATTTTTGAATAAATATGTATAAATATTTGACAAAACTGTACAAAAGGGGAGCAACCTCCGATGACTTTGATTTTGACATGTTGTCAAAGAAATGACTCTGACTGACCTCCAAGGTTTTAGTATCTTATTTTCTTTATTTTTACCAAATGTTTTTTTACTTTATTAAAAACTACAATAATAATAAGTTAATTTGTCGTATAAATTTCAAAGTCAAATCAAGGGTCAACAAAAAGAAGAAGGTGGAGGTTGTTCCATGCTACTGATTTTTAAACTTTGATGTATCCCAACTTTATCATAAACATAATTTTATTAAAACTATAATAAAGATTCCATTAAAGATCAAGATTCTTGAATATCAAAATTGTTATTATATCAACCGAAGAATCCAAAAAATATTAATGTTATAAATAAATCAAGTTGCGATATCAAAATATCAAGTGTTCCAGTTAAATGGAATAATTTTCATTTTGTAATGTCAATGCTTTCTGGTTTGCATATTATTCCGAATTTAGATGCGCTAAATGATAATCCATATATTAGAAATTACTTTATTAGATGTCTTTATATTCTAAAACGCCATAAATGATAATGAAAAAACGTTGTTATTACTTCGTAAGTAACAGATAACATTTTAGTCATGACTTGTTACTCGACGCAGCAACTATCTGAAGCTTTAAATTAAATTTAACTTAATCGCAGTACATAAACGTATAAGACTAGCGTATGCTATTTCATATGTACTTGTGGTGAACAGTTCGACATTGAATACTACACTTACGAGTTTCTGGATTATATTCACGCTAAAGTGCATAAAAATGATAAAGTACTTAATAAATTTAAGCAGCAAGCATTACTAATATATTGCATTGTTCTTTTCTCACGACAATTGTTAATTACATTTAATTTGTCGTAGAAATTTCAAAGTCAAATCAAGAGCCAAAACAAAAGAGAGAAATTGGAGATTATACTATGCTACTAATTTTCAAACTTTGATGTATCCCAACTTTACCATAAGCAAAATTCTCGGAATATTTCCATACAAAGTTAAGGCTTCGTCTTTTGAAACTTCTAACCCACGTTATATTCTGTGGACAATTATTTTTTGCGTAATCTGTGTTTATGAGTTGACAATGTTGTACAAACTCAATATCTCTGGAAATGTCAAGACCGATATACCCAAGATTATATATTTGAACTTCTACTATTTTTATGGATTGTTTTTAGCGGTCATCTCTTATGCCTTGAGCAGTTCGCGAATGCGTTTACTTCAGGCAATATTAGATATATCTCCGAAATTGCCCCAGAAGTCATATCGAAAACTATCCAAATTAATACACACTAAGGACATTTTTGGTTTTTTCTTTCACTTTTGGTTAATGTTATCATTATACCTCTCATTTTCCGAAAAGATGGTTTCGGGTTTCGGGTTATTTGAAATGTCCAGAGTTTTCATCAGCTTGTTGGGCTTTCAAATGGATATGCTATACATAAATTGCGTTTGTGTCTTAAAGGCCTGTTTCAAAGAAATCAACGATAATCTGGAGAATATGCTGGAGCTCGTGATAAATAATATTCCTAGATGGACCTATAATGAGCAGAGACATCCGTTCTTGCTGAAAAAAATTAAGACTTTAAAAAAACAGCATCTGATGATAAGTGACACAGTGAAGATGCTTAACATGATTTTCAGTCTGCATCTTCTCGCTACCATAGCTTTATTCTTCAAGCACATAATATTCTACGTGTATTTCGATGTAATACAATGGCAAAATGGGATATCCTTGAATCGAGACAGGATTTATAATATATATTTCATATCATTCTTAATATATTACTTTATAAGATTGACATTAATAGTGTGGGCTTGCGAAACTGGCAAAAATGAAGCGACAAAAATTGGCACTACCATTCACGATGTGCGTAACAGTATCAGCGATGTGCAAATCAAGGATGAGGTGAAGAAGAATTTCACTTTAGTTCAAATTTCTTACAAAAATGTCGCAATTTTTGTGTATTAGATTTAAATAATTTATACTTAACTGACTTAAGTTTATCATTTCTGTTTTATAATTTTTGTATTTATTATATTTTGATTTGTTGTTGCAGTTAACTTTGTTCTCCTTGCAAATATTGCATTACAATAATACATTCTCAACGAAAGGTCTCACTGTAGATGCAACATTGTTCACAGTGGTGAGTGATTAAAAACAATCTCTAATTAAGTATTATTTATGTATTTCGTGTTTTGCTTTTAGATGGTGAATAATGTTTCAACATATTTATTGATCTTAATACAATTTTTGATCATAACGCATTCATGCGACAGTAAGACAGATGCAATTAATTATACACGACCAATTTAATTAATACAAGTTTTCAATATTAAGAATATTAAAAACTTTTGATCTTTATGTGTTGAATATTTTATCGCTGTGAATACAATCGTCCAACGTTTTAATTCTTAAAAAATCATATATGTATACGTCCTATCCATGCATGTCAAATAAAAATCTTGAAACCTGTGTAATAATAAATATGTGTAATAATAAATATAATTTTAAGACTTTATTTGTTTAAATGTACCATACCAGTACGTAAATTAATAAAAATGTGTTTCGTAAAAACATATCATAAATCTTAATAGTTTAAT